AATGTTGTTGTTTATTTCTTTTCGTGATAAGGAAATCTTTCATGCGATGTCTCACTTACATTAATTATTTATTATATTGGAATATATTTATTAAATTATTACATATACATATATAATAATAATAATAATAATAATAATAATATTAATATTATTAATAATAATAATAATAATACACGATTGAACATTTTGTATCAGGTTTCACGATATTGGCACCCACTGAGTATAAACCCCGGCATGATATAGTGGGCCAATATCTGCACTGGAACAACTTCTACGGGAAGGAAACTGAAAGAAAATAGTATGAACACCACCCAGACCCGGTTACGGAGATAGGACCTGTTACAATTCTAGGGGATACACAATACACACTGACAGAACAATCAAATCCAACCGCCCGGATATTGTTATTAAAGACCACAAACAAACAAAAAAAAAGTCTCTCCTTATTGATATGGCAGTCACTGCTGACTGCAATGTATCTTTGAAGATATTCAAAAAGTTGTCAAAATACAAGGACCTTGAAACAGAAATCGCGAAAATGTGGCATATGGGAACATCAACAATCCCTGTTGTAGTTGGAGCCCTAGGACTGGTTGGAAAAGATTGCAGTAGACTAATTGAGGGGATTCCTGGAAGTCCATACCTCAAAGTGATACAAAACCTTGTTCTAACAAGTACAGCCCACACTTTACAGAGGACTTTATCTATGTAATATTTTTTGTTTTTTTTTTCAGAGGAAAGTGTCATGATGCCATTTCTAACCTTAGGTCCATGGGCGGGACCCGGAAAGAAATGAGTAAACGCCAGAAATCAAAGAAAATAATAATAATAATAATAATAATAATAATAATAATAATAAGAAGAAGAAGAAGAAGAAGAAGACATGGCAGATCTCCATGAAAATGATCGATAAATTGTCGAAACTGAAGATCGAGATTAACAGGATGTTGGGAATGAAGACTGAGGCTTCACCAATAGTAATCGGAGCTCTGGGCCTCGTGAGAAAAAGAATGGACAATCTTACTAACAGTGTCCCAGGGAACATCAACATGCAAGTTGCCTAGAAGACCGCCAAATTAGGAACATCTCAAATGCTAAAAAATGTGCTATCAATTAAATGACAATTCTCCTACAGGGACTAATGACCATAATTTGGATGCGGCTCAACAGGATACAAAGCAAGAAACATAACATACACAAATAATAATAATAATAATAATAATAATAATAATAATAATAATAATAATCTGGGGTAAAAGATGGCCTATTAAATTAAATGCCCCCAAAATTAAACGTCTTTCTATCTGAGAGATCCTTCTCTGCCTTCCATCAACATGGCTGATGTTAACTTTTAAGAAAGTGATTCGTTAAACCTTCTCAACCTTTATATAGAATCCCTTGCTAGGTCATCTGTGAAGAAAATTGATTCAGCCTGTTGTGCGAGACGATTTTCCTCTCCTTAATCTATCTTACATATATATATATATATATATATATATATATATATATATATATATATATATATATATATATATATATATAAGTCTACCATTCGCCCATATTTAGAATATTGCTGCCACATATGATCCAGTGCCCCTGCTATTTACATTGAACTCCTTGATGAAATCCAAACAAAACTTTTAAAATTAACAGCGATAATGAACACGCAAACACCTCTTGTCTGGTTGAATTGGATTTCTCTGTGTCCTTGGAAATGTGAATTATGATTTTTGCTGTGTCTTTAAAACCTAGCAATTTTAAAAGTTACTCCAAAATTCACTTGAGGATGAAATGGAACTAATGTCTGTAATTTAATCACAAAATTAAATTCGGAGCTTTCAGCTTCCATTTTTGAAACATGGTTAGAACTGTGTAGCGAAAAAAAACATATTTTAAATCAATTAATTTATAATATATATATTTATATATATATATATTTATATATATATATATATATTGATAATATTAGTAGTCAATATATATATATATATATATATATATATATATATATATATATTTTCCCAAGAGGATAGAATCTAGTCAGAACTCAATGTCCAGGACAGAGTAAGAATATAATATAAAAGGCTCAAACACTGATATTCCTTGGTTATAATTTATTACATTGGAATCGTAATCACGATCCAAATCATCAGACCTACAAATTTTTTTTTTTTTCTTCATTTTTTGTAGGTCTGATGATTACATACATTATATATATATATATATATATATATATATATATATATATATATATATATATATATGTGTGTGTGTGTGTGTGTGTGTGTAAATAAATGTCAAGAAGGAAAACATTTCTTAACTAATGTATTCCATCCTTTCCTCCTAGTAAATTCGATAAAACACATTGAATTCTCTCTTTGTCTCTTAGGCTTACAGTCATATCACGGATGAACGCCGATTCTCGTACGACCACCGAAATTAAGCAACGTCGCGTCTGGACAGTACTTGGACTGGTAACCGCTTGGAAATACCAAGTGTTTTTAAGCTTGGATTCGCGAATAGTGTAATGGATAACCACTCAATAAATAGAAAGAAAATGTCGAGAAAGTCTATCGGAGAAAGTAAAATAAAACGAACAAGTGAAGGAAAGAAGGAAAGCAAAACGAAAGAAAGAAAGAAGAAAAGAAAGAAAGAAAGAAGAAAAGAAAGAAAGAAAGAAGTAGAATGAACTGAAGTATAAATGCCTTTTTTTCGGACATTTTACCAATCAGTTGAGTTTCTCAGCGTTGCTCGCTTACTTGTGAGCGTTGTCTGCACAAGTGAACATCGGTTGACAGAGAAAAAGAAATATCTCGTCTTGACCACAATCGGAAGATACACACCAGATACAGACACAGAAACATACAGAAAGAAAGACAGACACACACACACACACACACACACACACACACAAATAAAACCAAATAATAAAGATACTTCTTCCGTCGAGAAAATACCAGATTCTCTCTTTGACTTCTTTTCTAATGTATGTCTATCTCCTTGCAGTCGCCAGGTCTCGCGTTAAATTCAGTTTCATCAGAAGGCAACGAGACCAAGAAAAAATATTTAATATAAAAAAAAGAAATGAACAGATATATTATTGTCTTTTATTTTTTTAAAGTTCGTGTTCGCATTATCCTGTCACATACACTTCTGCTGTTTCTCTGTGGCAAAGTTTGAAATTTGGTCGGCATTTCGACTACTATTGGTGTTGATGAAAGAGCGGCATTCATTCAAGAAAAGACGATATCTCTCTCTCATTTCCCGCTTTTTGCCATAATTGTTGCAAAACTTTTACCACAATTATTTCCATATAGAAGAAAACTTTTCCAACGAAATATTGTATTTAAACATATGTGGTGCATCTATTTGCAAGTGGGGTAAGATGACTTGAATGAAATGAATGCAGTCACGAATATTTTATCATATACAGAACCTCGTTCTACTATCAGCGAGCGGATTGGGACTCGTTCCGTGACTTCCTCCGCGATGTCCCCTGGGATGTTGTCTTTACACTCCCTGTCCAAGAATGTGCTTCTGAGGTCTCATCCTGGGTTAAAGCTGGAATCGACGCTTTCATCCCCTCAAGAAAATTTAAGGTCAAGTCGCACTCCTCCCCTTGGTTCTCCGCTGCTTGCTCAGCTGCCATTGCCCATAGGAATCACTTCTTTCACCTATTTCGTAGCGACATGTCGGACTGTAATAGACGTCTCTTTGCCTCTGCCCGTAACGAGTGTAAGCGTGTCCTCAACGAAGCTAAGTCAATATTTGCTGCTCGGATGAAGGAGCGTATTGCATCTCGCAAATTTGGCTCCAAAGATTATTGGCAGGTCTGCAAGAGTGTCTTGAACAATAGAAAACCCTCCATACCTCCTTTATTTAACCAGTTCGAGGTCTTGACCTCCTCTACCAACAAGGCTGAATGCTTTGCTCGGAAATTCTCATTTAATTCAACGATCAGCTCCACCGGTGTACCCATTCCAGACTTCCCTCCTAGAACGGAGGCCTTACTGAGCGGCTTACACATAACCCCGTCCGTGGTACTGGGCATTATCTCCAACTTAGACCCCCACAAGGCTAGTGGTGGAGATGGCATACCAGCCATTGTCCTGAAGAAATGCGCGCCTGAGCTAGCACCCGCCCTCTCTAAACTGTATAATTACTGCCACAAGGAATCCTGTTTTCCTGACTGCTGGAAGTCCTCATCCATTGTTCCTGTCTTTAAGAACTCTGGAGACCCCTCTGACCCCTCTAATTACCGTCCTATTAGTCTCCCTACCCTCTTCGGCAAAGTCTTCGAAGCCCTAATCAATGCCGAAGTAATTAATCACCTTACATCTCATAATCTGCTCTCAGACAAGCAATATGGTTTCCGCTACGCCCGATCCACAGCTGATGTGCTTACGACCATCACTGAAACCGTCTACCAAGCCCTTCAAAATAACGGATAGGCTCGTGCCGTCGCCCTCGACATTTTCGAAGCATTCGATAGGGTTTGGCACGCCGGCCTTCTTCGTAAGCTCCAGAGGTATGGTGTTACTTGTCAACTGTTTGATTTGATACAATCATTTCTGTCAAACCATGAATTGAAGGTCGTTCTCAACGGATTCTCCCCCAGTTTCTTATCCCACGAACGCAGGTGTGCCCCAAGGCTCCATCCTTGGCTCCACTCTTTTCCTTATTTTCATCAATGACCTTCCCGACGCTATAGATTCCCATGTTGGCATCTATTCTGACGACACCACAATATACTCCTGCCTCCAGAACAAATCTAGTATCGGCGACAAAACTAATCTGGCCGTGCGTCTCGAAATGTCGAGTCGGTTGTTAACTGGGGCAAGAATTGGCTGGTCAACTTTAACGCCACCAAGACTAAATTACTCTCCATTAACCACCATAGAGATCCTTCCCTGCCCCCCATTATAATGTCTGATAGTCAACTTCCTGAGAGCAATTCCCTGCGTCTGCTTGGTCTCACGCTGACTGCTGACCTGAGATGGAACAAATACATTGAGTCAATTGCTTCTTCCACCGCGAGGAAAATTGGCTCCCTGTGCCGCGCCAATAAATTTTTCTCCCCGGAATCGATACTTCAAATATACAAATCAACCATTCGCCCTTGCATGGAGTATTGCTGACATATATGGTCTGGTGTACCTTCTGTTTACCTCGGAGTTCTTGACAAGATCCAGAGGCGGATATGTAATCTAATTGGCCCTGATCTGGCGTCTCGTCTGCAGTCACTCTCTCACAGACGCACCGTCGCCTCTCTCTGTCTTTTCTACAAATATTTCCATGGTAACTGCTCTGACGAGCTGCTTTCACTGGTTCCCAGACTCCATGAATTCAAACGCCCTACGAGGCTGGCATCCCGCTCCCACCCTTACACCGTAGAAACTCTCAAATGTAGCCGTCACTTCTACTCCAATAGCTTCATACCTCGCACCTCTCGCCAGTGGAACACCCTCCCCAGTTACTGCATCCCTGAAGGCTATAATCTCCAACTATTCAAATGTAATGTCAATCGACACCTCCAGTTACCTTGATCTACCCACTATCCTTCTCCTCATCCTTTCTTCTATCACTCTTATCTGCTCTCGCTCAAAATCTTCTGCCACCTCCTGCATCCTAGTGGCTTCACGCCTTGCTTGGGGCATAATGCTTAAAAAAAATAAAAAATAAAAATACGCCCTACCGTAATATTTCGTCACTTGCTGTTCATCTCTCTACAACTCGACAAGATACTTGTTCCTCCAACGGCTGCGTAAGATAATGAGACCCCTATCTCACAAAAAAGATGTTTTTCACTGCTTTTTAAGAAAGTAATTCTGGTTCAATATTGTTCGCAATTCATCAAACTAACAGTTTCTGTTTTAACGAGACGTAGACATTTTAATTTTTGAAAAAATGTTTAAATAAATTTCTTATCGCTTCACGGCAGGTGTCAGAAAAAGGAGTTGATTGATGACAGGAAAATTGAAAATTCTTAATTTTGACGTAAACTTTACAGTAAGTGACGAAATATTACATTAGTCCGTATATGACAAAATATTCACGGGTGAACTCTCGCGGATTCAAATCACCCTTCGCCAATTCTGCCTGTCATAACAGTAGATGCGATAGGCTCTATAAATTCAGACCTTCAATCTGTTGTTAACTGCGGCCAGTGACTGGTGAATCCAAAAATTACTACCGTCATTTTAGAGGGCCTATTTTGACATCCATCAATATGGCTGATGCCACCCGCTTGCTCAGTCTCAAGTTTTTTTTTCTGACATGAACTATAAAGATTATATTTATCAATCGTTAAACCTGCTGTAAGAAAAGTTGGTTCTTCGATTTCCCTTTCACTCTATCAAACACTTTAATGTCTTTAGCCATTGATTCAAGTTTGTTATCAGTACCAAAAATAAGTTCTTGATGGACGATCTATAGGGATGTCAACTGCATATGATATAACTCTCATCTTCAGCAAAATCACTGACGAACTTCATGATATCTTTGTTATCAGAGCGAATGCGTTTCACATCTCAAATAATTTTCTGACAAAATTGCGACATATTTGCACCTACACAAAACTATGCCATCTCTCTCCAACTGTGTAATCATCACGTATATTCCCTCATTGCATAAATCTTTTTGTTGTGAATGATTAGGCTTCTGGATCTTATGAGGTCAATTCAGACGTCTTAAACGTCTATTTCTACTCGATTCTATCCTCTATGATTTTTATCAACGATCTACCTAGTAACATTTTCAGATCACTGGAAAACATCGATAGAGATGATACTACATTTTAATTAGGCATTTTCTATAGCAAAGGAAGAATTTGATCTTTGATACGTTTACTTTATCAAAGAATTTGTTATTCATTCTATTCCTATTTCACTTTGTGGTATTGCAGATGTCAGCCTTTGTTTCAGAAATATTGATATCCGTTCATTCTAGCCCCTCTATAGGGTGTCTGTTGTTCCTGTTGATGCTTGATCTATGTAGATTTTTAATTGATCATTTTGCACTTTTCTCACATCGTACACCAGAACTCTTCGATTTCCTGCTTATTAGGTGGGCCGTTTATATTATTATTAATAATATTGCTATTATTATTATTATTATTATTATTATTATTATTATTATTATTATTATTATTAAAGAGACTGGGTTCTATAGCCTTAAATGGCAACTAGTCTAGGAGAAGGACAACTCTGAATTCAAACCCGGAGTGGAGCCCCTAAGGCGGATGGACGGCACTTTGTGCTTACCTTCCGGCAAATCCGGGCAATTGCGCGGGTACCAAACTGTATTGGTTTATCCTCTCTCCTTTGGACCCTGATAGAAAGCACATTTTCTTTCTCAAGTGCGCAGGCCGATTGATGCAATAGAGACAGTTGGAAAAACAAACAAACAAAAACAAGGGCACGTCTATTTCAAATACGCGCATCCACTAACATTTGAAGTAATAAATTTTAAGATTAAAAATAAACACAAAAAAATTTATAG